GAATTCGAACCCGCCACCTTAGGTGTATGTGGCTGGCGCCTTAGCCGCTTGAGCTACAGGCGCGGAGCCAGGAGCCTGACATTTAAATAAGCATAAAGCAGACACAGCAGGTTTAAAAATCAAGGATCCCATCTTTACATGGAATCCTGGCTTCCTTAATAGAGGGAAACACCTCTGGCAGCACAACCTTCCACAGGGATCCTGGCTGCAAGACTCATCAAGCCTGGGGAGGGACCCATGCCCATCTGCCCTCCAGACGCTGAGGTGGGAAGATAGCTTGAGGCCAGGAGTTGAGGCTGCAGTGTACTGTGGCTGACCAATCATAGCAAGGCACCCTCTCCTTGACAACATCGTGAGACTCTGCTTCAAAAATAAATAAATAAAAAAGAAAAGAAAGAAAGCAAACAGAGGAATCAAACATATTTAAAAAGCAGTCTCAGGGAAAAAATTCCTAAAAATAAGACCCAAAAGAGAAAAATCACGAAGACTCGCTTACGTATATTTGTATGTTTTATCTTACTGTTTATTTACTTAACACACGGGCCTCACTGTGCTGCCCCGGGCTGGGGTGCAGTGGTGCCATCACACCTAACAGTGTGTCTGGGGTTACAGCTGCTTGTGTGTGTCACTGCTGTAGGTGTCGCCCAAGAGTCAGGATCGCTCTCCAGGGTCTCAGACTGCCTTAGTCAGGTGGCAGCAGGGTATTCAGTATATTAGGGAGACCAGTCCCTAACTCACACCTTTCCAAATGGCAAGAGTCCCTGGCGCGGCACTGGTACCACAGTGGTTACAGTGCCAGCCTTGTATACTGAGGAAGGTTCGTGTGAACCCGGCCCGGGCTAGCTAAACAACAATGACAACTGCAACAAAAGCCAGGCAGGTGTTGTGGTGGGTGCCTATAGTCCCAGCTACTTGAGAGACTGAGGCAAGAGTATCGCTTAAGCCCAAGAGTTACCTTGAGCAAAGGTATGGTTTGTTTTGTAAACTTTAAGCCACTGTCTTCGTGTGTGTGTGTGTGTGTGTGTGTGTGTGTGGTGGGAGGGGGGCGAAAAGAGAGGAATGTTCTTACAAATGGAGATTTCCTTTATAGATGTAAATTTCTCTTACAAAGGGTTTCAAAATAGCCAGACAGCTAAAAGTCAGAAAGTTGAGTTCTGACGGCAGATTTACTTGACTAACAGTCTTTTGAATTTAGTTTGTTTATTAGATTACCAACTCCTAATTAGAGACCCTTCCCTCTTAGGAAGGAGGTGCATAAAAACAACAAAAATCAGGCGGGGGAGAAGGGGTGGCAGGGGTGGGTGGCTCCTGCCTGCAATTCCCAGCACTCTGGGAGGCCCAGGAAGGTGGATCTCTGGAGCTCAGGAGTTTTAGACCAGCCTGAGCAAGAGAGGGACCCCTGCCTCTACTAAAAATAGAAAAACCAGTTGGGCTTTATAACTGCACCTATGGTTCCAGCTACTAGGGTGGGAGGAAGGGCTAAGGTAAGAGGATGGCTTGAGCCCAAAAGTTTAAGGTTGCTGTCTACCCAGGGTGACAGAGTAAGGCTCTTGTCAAACCCCCCCCCCCCCCGCCAACTTTTGTAGGTGAAGTGAAGCCCTTTTAAGGACTAGGGCAAGAAAGCAGTTGCAGTTTGGGAGGCTGACATTTATTTATTTATTTATTTTTTGAGACAGAGCCTCAGGCTGTCCCCCTGGGTAGAATGCTGTGGCCTCACAGCTTACAGCAACCTCCAACTCCTGGGCTCAAGCGAGTCTCCTGCCTCCACCTCCCAAGTAGCTGGGACCACAGGCGCCCGCCACAACGCCCCGCTATTTTTTGGTTGCAGCC